TTTTATTCATATTATTTTATAGTGATTTTTAAAAAACAAAAATATTTAATATATTTAATAAATGTTATAATAAAATAAAATTAATTCAGTAGCAAATATTTTATTATTGTTTTTTTTTTTAAAAATTTCCTAACAATTGTTTTACACGATTTTGTTGACATAAAACTATAAATAATAAAACTAAATAATAAAATAAATAAATAATATGACAAACCGTATCGCAATTCATAAATTTAAATTAAAAAAAATAATAATAAATAAATTATATATACTTTTATTTTGTATTAAATTCCATATTTGGTAATCAATATATATATATATATATATATATATATATATATATATATAATACAATACTTAGTAAAACAATAGCAAAAAAATATAAAATATCTAATAATCAGCAAAAAAAATCATATATTTTTTTGTGATGACTAACAATATAAAAATGTGTGTTTATGTGTAAATTATAGATATATATATATTGTTGTAGATTTAATTAAATATATAAAATAAAACAATAGATGAGAAATTTTTTCTGCTTATTATAGTATTAAATATTTTTTTTTTGCTTTTGATTTATAACATATTTTTTTAACATTTATATTGAATTATTATTATTATTATTATTAGTTTCCAACATAATAGTGTCGATTTAATTAAATTCAATAAAAAAAACTAAAATAAATTATTTAATTAATTGAATTATTTAATGTCAGTGTTTAAAAAATTAATTGTTTGTGACTATCATATGATATATGTATTAAAATAATAATAATAATAATAAAATTTTTTAGACAAAAAGTATTTCAAATTGACATTAAAATATATTACTCTCTCAATGACATCATTATATTTAATTTAATTTATTAGAAATTTGAGTTATTTTTATACACAAATAGTAGTGTCTCTACTAAAAAACCAATTATTCAATAAAAAATAATAAAAATATATTTTTCTTTATATATATATATATATATATATATATATATATATATATATATATATATATATATATATATATATCTATTATATTAGATTAGATTTTAAGACATATTGCTTTAGGATATATATAATATTGAATTTAATACCCATTGACACAATGATCTGTATTGTATAATATATATATATATTTATTCAATATATATATTAACTGTATATTATATATATAAATTTTTTGGTAAAATTCACAAAAATATTGTTAAAATGATTTATTATTTTATGCTTAAAGTAAAAATAAAAATGAAAGTTGTTTTTCAACTTTTTATTTTAAATTATTATTATTATTATCGTTTGAATGTATATATATATTGTAGTTTAAAAGTTTATATAATAATTTTTTTAAAGTTTTAAATGTAATAATTATATTCAAAAAAAAAATTTAAGATAATAATTACTATATTATATGCGTTAAAAAATTACATTAAATTTTTGTTGTTAACATAAAACTATAAATTATTATACAAAATGCTTAAATAAGTTAAATAAATTTTTCAAAAAAAAATTCAATTATTTTAGTAATCAATTGACTAATAATCACTAAACTATACATTTAATTAAAAAATTTATTGGTTTATTTCATTTTTGTTTGTTTGTTGTATTACTTATTTTAAATTATAATTTATATTATTATTATTATTATTATTATTACACTATTAGAAAAAACATATTTAAAAATATAGAAAAATGTTGTAAATATAATTTCAATATATATATATAATATATTATATTATCAATAATATAAATGTTTATGTAATATAAATAATTGATAATATATACTACATATGTATTTTCTGGGCTCAAAAAAATATTTGCAATATTTGTTTTTTTTTAAAAGTAAATAATTTTATTTAATAAAGTTAAAAGCATTTTAAATTATTTTTTTTATTATTATACCTAGTATGTTATTTTTAAAAAAAATATATATATAAATTAATATTTATTTTTGATATAATGTTAACAAATACAGTCAAACACAGTATTAGTTGAACCAAAAAAATAGTGTTTAAACAGTAAAAACAATTTTTTGTTTAAAAATATACTTTTTCAACAAATATATATTATAAATATATTATATTTTTTGTGTTATCAAATATCGACAAAACAATATTAATAACTTATTTAATAAGTAAATAAAAAAAATAAATAAAAATCACACATATTTTATTCAATATACTGTAAATACAGTATTATTATTATTATTATTAATAAAAATAATTAATAGAAAAAATTATTATTTATTTATCTAAACTCATCATAAAAGTTATCATTGAATATGTGTGTAAACAACTTATAAAACTTTTTTTATTAGTTAATTACATTTTTTGTTGAAATTTCAAAATAGTTTTTTTTAAATATATATATATAATATATATATTATACAATGTTAGGCACTCTTAGGCATTCAAAAAGGGTTGCCCTCAAAAAACAAAACTAACTGTCCCAAATTAAATATATATATATATAATTAAAAATATTATATATATATATACTGTATATATATATGGGAGTATAATTATATACATTGTATATTATTTAACTACTTATATATATATATATATATATATTTCAAGGCAATTGTCTCAAACTACTAACTGATGAAAATGTTTTATTATATATATATATATATATATATTAAATACAGGTTTTTTTGTTTTGTTAATAATAAGATAAAAACATAGAAACAAATAATAATATTTAAAAAAATCTCAAATCTGATGTTTCTTATGATAGCTTAAAAAAATAATTTAAAAGACACTAATACTGTATATAAAAATTTTTAATTTATTATTATTTTTTTTTTTTGGGTACAAAAACCTTGTATTTTTTGAAACAATGTTTTATGTAAAACGTTTTTACAACTAATACTGTATATTATATTTGAAAATTAAAAAATAAAAACTCAAATAAAACGAGTATTGGTTTTCATAAATAATAATAATAATAATAATTTGAAAAAACACTTGAAATGATATAAAATAAATATAAGATATAATAATAATAAAAAAGTACAGAAAAAGTTGAATATCTTGAACTTATTTTTTTTATTATAAAGTTTTTAATTATAATAAAAAAAAGTTTTTGAGACCTTATTTTTTAAATTACAAAAATATTTTTCGAAAAATTAAAAATTAAATGTTTTTGTTAATGAGATTTTCTAAATATGATATTAATATTAATATTAGTATTATTATTATTACTGTTAATAATGTAAATAAATTTTTAGTATAACTAAATTATTTATTTTTTTGTGTGGATTTAATTAGCTTTCAATTTTGTTTATACATATTTTTGTTGATTTTGTTGGTATAATGAAACACATATTGTATTTATAATAAACATATATTTTACGTATACATATATATATATGATAATATTATACACTGTATAATAATAAACCTATTTATTTGCAATTTTGTGATAATATTGATAATATAATAAATCTAATAACTTATGTAATTAAGAGTATATACTGTAAGTATACAGTTAGTTAAATTATAATTTAATATATATATACAGTATATTTAGCATATAATTTGTTTAAATCAAAAATATAAAAATTGTTTAATTTGATATCATTTTTATTAAACAGTTATATAATATTATTATTATTAACCATATGTAACAAAATTTCATAATGTAAATAACAAAATTTATATATTGCATAAACATTAAAGTATATATATATATATATTTAATCACAAAACTGATTTATTTATTTATTATTATTATTATTATTATTAGGAGATAGATAACAAATTTACTGGGAAACAAAATAAAACAAAACAAAACAAAAATTTTATCCATAAATAAACATTAAATTTTTATAAACTAGCTATAAATTATTTAAAGAAAAAATAAATAAACATAAGTAGAGAGAGTGAGAGAGAGAGTGTGTGTGAGAGAGAGAGAGAGAGAGAGAGAGAGAGAGAGAGAGAGAGAGAGAGAGAGAGAGAGAGACTACAGTTGTATGTGTCATACAAGTGTCTGTCTCCCCTCCTATATAACAGGGACACCCTATCTCTCTCTCTCTCTCTCTCTCTCTCTCTCTCTCTCTCTCTCTCTGTCTCTCTCTGTCTCACTCTGTCTCTCTGTCTCTCTCTCTCTCTGTCTCTCTCTCTCTCTCTCTAATCATATGATTTGAAAAATTTCTGGATATCTCATAATGTTTTATTTTTTTCAAGCATTTCTCAATTATACAGATAACTGTAGTAAATATATATATATATACTGTGTATATATATTTATATACAATTTTTATTAGTGATAATTTACAACAGAGTTCATTGATGTCAATATTCTAAAGTTCACTTACTTTCAATAAAAATTATCTAGATTCAATTTTAATAATAACAAAATTAAATTACCTTGGCACTCTAGCCAATTAAATCAAATATAATATATAATATACAAGTATATATATGCACTATGTTTGTTACTAAGATGATATAATTAATAATAATAAAAATGAAAAATAAAATAATTATATTATTATTATTGTTATATTCTTTTAAATAATTTTATTTAAATAAAAACAATTAAATTATTTAATTTTCTAACTAATTAATTCAATAGCATTTTAATTAGCGGGTAATATATATATATATATATATATATATATATAGATTTAAAAATAGTGAAATACATGTATACTTTATTTTTTTAAGATACATGTATTGCATTATATATATATATATATATATATATATATATATATATATATATATATATATATATATATATATATATATATATATATATATATTTAGTATCAAGGTATGTTTTTGTTGAATAATATATTAAATAATTAATAATAATAAATTTTTATATATATCAACAACAACAAAAAACGATTAATTTTTATAATAAATCATTATTTTTTTTATTATTATTATACTATCGTATATACAGTATATAAATACAACTTATAAGTCTATTAATAATATTATAGTAAATAAATATATATATAAAAAATAAAATAAAAATCATTGAATATTACTTACTAGTAATAAATGAGTCCAATAAATGGCATTAACGGATCAAAATTCATTCAATATATGGCACATTAGGTCTTAATAATGATATTATTTTGTTGTTGTTGTTGTTGTTGTTATAATAGTGGAAACATTAGATAATTTATAAAATAAAAATATAATATATATATAATATATTAATAATAATAATACTAACAAACATACACTAAATAAATATCATTTATTATATTATTATTATTATTATTTACATTTTTTTTATTATTAAATAAACTAATTATTATTTGATTATAATTATTAAAATTTAATTAATTATAATAAAATAAACACAAAATCATATATATATATATATATATATATAAATAATTGATTAAGAATTTATGCGATTATTATTATTATTTGAAAATAAAATAAATGTGCAGAAAATAAATATATAAAAAAATATATTTAAATTTAATATTAATATTATATGTCTCTGATTATCATATTGTCGATCAAATCAAAATAAAATAAAATAAAAAATTATATCAACAAAAATAATAATAATAAAATTATTATATTAATTATATTTTTCTTTTAACAAAAAATTATTTATATATATATTTAATATCATATAATAATAATAATGTCTTTCATTGAATATGAAGTGTGATGTTATGTGTGTTTCATATGTTGTGTTCAAACATATACTCACTGTAATAGTAATGATAGTATAGACTTGTATAGTGAGAGTGTGTGTGAGTTTGTATGTATGTATGTGTGTGTGTGTGTGTGTGTGTGTGTGTGTGTGTGTGTGTGTGTGTGTGTGTGTGTGTGTGTGTGTGTGTGTGTGTGTATACTGTATAGACATTCATAGAAAAAGGCATTCCATGCCTTACCCAAGGCTTACATAACACACACACATATACAGTATATACACTATACTAATGTATATGTATATGGAATGGTAGGTATATATACTGTACAATAACATACAGTATATATATACTGGTTTTTACTATATGTTTAGTATCAGGGTTAAGCAAGGTTTTGGATTTTAGGGGGGTAGACCGGGGTAAAATTTACAAAATTCTCAAAAAATCTTGGGGGGGGGTATTGGGTGGGGTAAGATTTTTATTGCATTTTTAAACGGCAATTTTTTCAAAAATCCAAAATCAAGGGGGGGGGGGGTCTAGAGAAAATTCCCTAAAAATTCCTTAAGTTCCCGAATATTCCCATGTAAATTCAATAAAATTCCCACAAGTTCCCGTATAAATTCCCGGGAAAATAGGTAAAATTTCCAAAAATATAAAAAAAAACTAAAAAAACTTAAAAATTAACAAAAATTTAAATTTTAACAAAAAATAAATATTTTTTAAAAAATTTTTTTAAAATTAATAAAAACTTAAATTTTAACAAAAAAAATAAAATAATGTATTTAAGATTTAAAAATAGTTGATAAAAGCATTAATGATACACTATGAGTTATTTTTAGTATTTTAATAATTTTTAACTTTTAACATAATTAATTTTTTAAACAATACTTAATGTTTATAGTTTGTTATATATTTTTATTTTTATACAAATACTGACTGAATACTACTTATTTAACTCAAATTTCGTTAAAGTTTAATTATATTAAGTACAAAATTGAAAATATTTTTAAATTTTTTATTTAAAATTTAAAAATTATTAATAAAAACATAAGTATTTATTGTTTTATTAACTTCTTAAACTTATATTTAAATTGTAATATGATTACTCTTTTCAACAAATAGGTAATTTTTAATTTTTTAGTTTATTTTAATTAAAATAATGTTATTTTTTGATGACTTTTAACGTTATTTTAACTATTTTTAATCAATAATTAGATTTTTATAAATATTAAAAACATAAAAACACTTACTAAAATAGTATCAACTAAAATTAAAATTTTTATAAATTTCAAAAAAATTTTCGGCGCCTTCGGCGCCGAAATTTTAGGGGGGGGGTCATTTCTCCTCGTTTTTAAGCGACAATTTTTTCAATTTGGTCAAAAAGTCTGGGGGGTAAAATCCCAATTTCTCGATCTTAGGGGGGGGGGGTATTTTGGCCTTACCCCCCCCTACCCCCCCCTTACTTAACCCTGGTTTAGTATATATTTTTTTATAGCTATACTACAGTACTTTTTATTTATATCTATATTTATATATATATATATATAATTACAAACATATCTATATATATTGTGTGTGTGTATATGAGAGAGAGAGAGAGAGAGAGAGAGAGAGAGAGAGAGAGAGAGAGAGAGAGAGAGAGAGGATTTTGTAGTTATGTTATCACTATATATATATAATTATATATATATATAAAGTATATATCACTCTAAGAGCACGTGAAAACAATATGAATCACCCATTTATAGGTAACAGTGCTCTCATACTGGTATTGTTGGTGAAGGACGCCATGAATTTAGACTTTTCCTCAATTTTTTWTTATTATTATTATTATTATTGTTTAGCGCCAATTAACTAAAACAATTAGTAATCAGAAAATATTAATTATTATTTATTAAATATTTTTTTTTCGTTTTTATATGGGTTGAGGAAGTTTTTATGGTTTTTATTGTATATATTTATTTTTTATAAAAAAATAAATTGTTGGTGATAGGTATAATTTTGGGCACATAACAAAAATGTGACCTGCGTAATTTTATATGTTTTTGTTGGTTGTCTAGTGACGCAACACACACACATACACACACACACACTCACACAACACATACATATACATACATACACACACATACATACACACACATACATACATACACATACACATACACATACACATACACATACACATACACATACACATACACATACACATACACATACACATACACATACACATACACATACACATACACATACACATACACATACACATACACATACACATACACATACACACACACACACACACACACACACACACACACACACACACACACACACACACACACACACACTTACATACACACACACATACATATATATCTATATATATACTATTAATACTCTCTCTCCCTCTCTCTCTCTCTCTCTCTCTCTCTCTCTCTCTCTCTCTCCATCCCTACCCCCTCTCCCCCTATGTCTATGTATAGAAGGAGTGGCCAATTCTGTATATATTTTTATAATGTCTCCAATAATTCTCTATTTGAATACAGTGTGTCTCTCAATAATAATATTATAATGATTTATACATATCTATGTTTTATTTATATGCCATTAAACACAATCAATATTAATATACATGTATATACAGTATTGATAGTATTCATACATTTTATATCATATATATATATAATAATTGACATTATAATTATTATTCTATAAAAATTTATATATTGGTAATTATTGAATTGAATATAAAAATTATTATTATTTGGATGTTATTAATAATTATTAAAAACTTATTATTATTATTATTATTACCACATAATGTTACTATTAAATAGTAACATTATTTATCCAGGTTTTTTTTATTAGCCATCACAAATTATTGCTTATAAAAGTCATATAAAACACACAAAATAACACAAACAACTTATAAGTTTTTATTGTCATATAATTTATATTTTTATATTAGTATAATAATAATAATATCAATAATATATTGTTTGCTTATGTCAACATATGTTAGTATAGATTTTTTTGTGTATATAATAATTTTTTATAACTTATAAAAAAAAATTGTTAATAGTTTTTTTGGGATGTTATTAAATATATTTTATGTATAGTATATAATACAGTATATACTATATATCAATATATATATATAATAAGTTTTATTATTTATTTAATAATCAACAAGTTAATTATTTAGACAATAATAAGTATACTAACAAAACAATTATATACTACTACTACTACTACTACTACTACTACTACTACTACTACTACTACTAATAATAATAATAATAATAATAATAATAATAATAATAATAATAATAATAATAATAATAATAATAATAATAATAATAATTCAATAACATTCATGTTATTAACATTGAAAAACATAATATCATATAAATTGTTTATTATCTATGAACAAAAATAATTATATATATATATATATATATAAATATCTATATACAGTATAATAAAATACTTTATATATATATATAYAYACATAAAAAWTTTATGTATAATTTTTTATATATTWATATYYKGTTATAAAAATTATAGTTTATGTAATATTTTAAAAAAAAATTTATTACCCGTAAATAATTTATAGCAATATGAATATATTATAATACTATACAGTAATTATTATACAAATTATGGTTAATTTATAATTTTAATTTAAGTAAAATTTAAAAAAAATTACCTAGTTTGTTATCATTATTTATTAACAACAACAAATTTATCAGGGTGTATTTTTGAATCAAGTAATTTACTRRTATTTAAAACATTATATTATCATATTTACATAAAAATAATAATCTGATAGTATAATTRAAAAWTTTGTTTTTCCCTAATATTATTACTTTTTAAATTTTATTTTTAGATGATTTAGCATATTATTTGTTTATAAAAACCATAATTAGGTAATCAATAGATATATTTAYACATATTTGATAACAATTTTTTKTTGGTTAGACTTTAGTCGTAAACAAATCAAACAGTATATAACATACAGTTTAATAACGTGTTTATTAGAAAATATTAATATAATATTTTTAATAATAAGTAATAAATTTATCCCTAAGTTTGCCAAATAAACAAATAAATGTTTTTTAAAAATCAATTAAACAAATATAATTTTTAGTAATAATATTTTTATTTAGTTATTATTTTATGTATTAAAAATAATTTATATAAAAAACTTTTTTGTTTTTTGATATATCTATTAAATTATAATGAATAGATTTCGCTATTATAATAATTAATTGTATTTTTTTTGTTTATCATTTAATAGAATATAATTTAAAATAATTATAAATCAAATTTTAAAAAAATTACTTTAAATTTAGTTTTATAAACAATAAATATATAAAATAATAGTTAAGTTATATATATATATATAGTATATTTGTCTTCAAATTTTATAAACATATGAAATCATTGTTTTTAAAAAACATTACTTTAAAGTATATRAATAACAAAAAGATTCCGTAAATTTKCATAAATTTAAAAATTACATAAAAATTATAACAGTTTTGATCAAATCATAACAAATATTATAAAACTAATTAAAATATTTATATATAATAATTACAATTAARATTGACAAACAAATTAAAAAAAACGCACAATTTTTTGTTAGTGAATTGAAAATCACATAAAAATCAATTCAAGCAACAAAACTGTTGATTGAATTTGATTTTTTTGAAGACAAATAWATACTATTAACTACATTACGGTAATATTCAATTGAAATTGTCGGACAAATTATATGAATAACACAACACAACAAAAATGATAATAAATTGTAATTCAATTAATTAGATAAAAGATTATCATTTGGATGCAAAAAAATGAGGAGTTTTTTTATGATAAAAAAAATACTAATTAATGAAAACATTTCAATAGGTWTTATGTAATGAAATGGATATATAATATTGTGATATATTGATCGATAAAAATGATGGCACCAGTAGATGATTATCAATTGTCATCGATGGTWTAGACACCATCAACAACAACAACAACGTTTTTTTTATCTTAAAAGTCGGCGTCGAGAACAAACTTGTGATCCTCTTTGTTRGACATAACACCGCTCTTCTGATATTCGCCGACACGCTTCTCGAAGAAGTTGGTCTTTCCTTCCAGCGATATCTGTTCCATGAAATCAAACGGATTGGTACTGTTGTAGTACTGTATATATAAAAAAAACAATCAAAAAAWAATWAATTAAAAACCAATTATTAGTATTTTTAAAAACTCATTGTTCAATAGCTRATCCCTTTCTCTCTCTCTCTCTCTCTYTGTTTCTCTCTCTCTCTCTTTGTTTCTCTTTTTTTCTCTCTCTCTCTTTGTTTCTCTTTTTCTCTCTCTCTTTGTTTGTCTCTCTCTCATTCTCTCTCTCTCTATCTATCTTTATCTCTCTCTCTCTTACTTTTTTTCTCTCTCTCTTTGTTTCTCTCTCTCTCTTTGTTTGTCTCTCTCTCATTCTCTCTCTCTCTCTATCTATCTTTTTTTCTCTCTCTCTCTTTGTYTCTCTYTCTCTCTCTCTCTGGAGGAACTCATACCTTGGGAACACCCAATTCGCTTAGTAGACGGTCGGCAACGTATTCAATATACTGTTTCATTAGATCACAATTCATGCCAATCAAGTTGACGGGCAGGGCATCGGTYAGGAAYTCCTGTTCAATACTAACGGCCTCTTTGACTATCTGCAGGACACGATCGTTCGGGGGCTTATCGACAATATGGCGGAACAGTAGACAAGCAAAGTCACAGTGAAGACCTTCGTCACGGCTGATCAGTTCATTGCTGAACGTCAGGCCAGGCATTAGTCCGCGTTTTTTCAGCCAGAATATCGATGCAAACGAACCGCTAAAGAATATGCCTTCGACTGATGCGAACGCAACCAATCGTTCGGGGAAAGTGGCCGTCGCTGACGATGTCCAGGCCATAGCCCAGTTGGCCTTTTTCTTGACGCACGGCAACGTCTCGATGGCATTGAATAGAAAATTACTATGAAATTGAATAACAAATTAGACGACGATTAGATCCCTATATTTTAAGACTATAATAATACTAATTGGTATAATTGACATACCGTTCCTCGGGTTCAGTAATATAAGTATTGATTAGCAGTGAATACATTTCCGAATGAATGTTTTCGATGGCTATCTGAAAGCCATAGAAACAACGGGCTTCGGTAACCTGTATTTCCCGAATAAATCGTTCGGCCTATGAATTATCATGAGGACAGTTATCAAAACTATAGTTATTAAACAATTGCCGTAAACATCAATGTCTTTTAAAATACCAGATTTTCGTTGACAATACCATCAGAGGCGGCAAAAAAGGCCAACACATGCGATATAAAGTGTTTTTCTTTTGAATTCAATTTTTTCCAGTCCTTCAGATCGCGGGACAGATCCACTTCTTCGACCGTCCAGAACGAMGCTTCTGCCTGTTTGTACATCTGCCAGATGTCTGGGTATTCAATGGGAAATATCACAAATCGGGATCCGTTTTCCCGAAGTAACGGTTCGGTAGCGGCGGCGGTCAATCGGATATCTTCGAAACCTTTGATCGGCGGCTAAATTTTGGTGACAAAATCATCAATAAACTAATGATGCAATCGATGGCCAAATATCTCTTACCATTTCATCCGAGTCCACCGCAACAATCTTCTTGCCGTTTGTGGTGGTGGTCTTGAGATCTCCGCCGCCGGCAATGCTCTCGGCTGTGACAACTGCATCGGTGGCCACAATCTTGCCGTTTGTGGTGGTGGTCTTGAGATCTCCGCCGCCGGCAATGCTCTCGGCTGTGACAACTGCATCGGTGGCCACAATCTTGCCGTTTGTGGTGGTGGTCTTGAGATCTCCTCCGCCACCGGCGGCTATACCATCGGCTGTGACAACTGCATTGGTGGTCACAATCTTGCCGTTTGTGGTCTTGAGATCTCCGCCGCCACCGCCACTGGCGGCTATACCATCGGCTGTGTTGGCCACAGTTTTTACCGATAATTTCATCGCATCGGCGGCCGTTGTATTGTTATGACTACTGACTGGCGTCGGACTCATTGTCTTATTATTATTATTATTATAATTATCGGTAAAACAATTGATGAGATTTTTTAAATTTTAAAACAACAAAAAATAAATTAAATAATGAAATGATTTAATGATTAATTAGTTTTAATAAAAACTTTAGATTTTTTTTTTAAAAACAAATCAATGAATTGAATGAATGAATGATTTGTAATGAAATGTAATGAAAGTGTAAGTCATAGACAATAACACACAATGTTTTTGGTTATGATTTGCGCCAAAAAAATTTCTCAACACTTTATATACACTGCAATGCATTGAAAACAAATAGCAGTCAAAWCAGTAATACAGTAAACACCATTGTATGGGAAACATAATGCAATAATTATACCATTGATTTTTGTTTAAATAAAAAATTATTTAATTAATAAATCAAAAAAATCAAGAAATGTTTTTTAATTAATTAATTTTTCATATATTTTATTACACAAATAATAATAATAATAATAAATTATATTTATGTATAATATGTTATATATATATAACTAGTTTTGTGTGTATATGTATACTGATTTCACCCCAGTTTTATCAGTTAAACTGATTATTATTATTATTATTATTATTATTATTATTATTATTAATACCACTATATTTTGCCGCTATTTTTAGTTTACACTATTAATACTACASTAATATTAAACAYACGTAATGTTTGTATAGATATATTAATATTATTAATACAGTATATACTGTAGTATATATTATACAGTTTACTATAGCATTGCGTTTATCAAATTTAGYAATTGGTAATTTTCAAAAATAATTTTTTTTTTTAAACAGTTTATGTTAAAACTGGTAATAAATAGCATTGCATCAAAATAAAATTTTGTATTGGTTAATTTTCAAAAAAAAAAACAATTTTTTTGAACTACCCTATTATTAGTATTATTATTATTATTATTGCTARTTTGTTATTGTAGTTATATTTGATTATATTTTAATAATGCCAATTCTAATGAAATAGGTTTATTGCATTACCTAGATGAATTATTTATTTTTTTTGGTGATTAATTATCTTGAATTAAATACTATGTAATATTTATTGGGGGGGGGGTTAAAAATTTTGTACTAGTAATTAATTAATAATTTTAATAATTAAACTGTATTTCATTAAAATAATTAATACAAAAATTTTCGTAAATTATTTATAACTATAGCGTAAATAATTTGGCTAATAATTTATAATTAAAAAAATATAATACAAATTATTTTACTAATATTATAACCTATTAACTGCTAACTAAATTTAATTGCTGTTTGTAATTGTAATTGTAATTTAAGCTGCTAAATTTATTTATTTTAATTAAATTATTAGTAAAAAATATAGAATTAGAAATAATAATTAAAATTTACTATTTAATAATTTTTTAAAAAATATTAATTACTATTTATTTAATTATTAATAAATATTTAAACAAAATTTAACAGTTTGTTAAAACTGGTAATATTGCCATTGCATTGCATCAAAATCAAATTTTCTATTGGTTAATTTTCAAAAAACAATTTTTTTTGAACTACCCTATTATTATTATTATTTAGTTGTTATTATTGCTAGTTTATTATTGTAGTTATATTTTAATTGCCAATTCTAATGAAAATCTATTGCATTAGGCGTTGTACACATATTACGTTCGCACTTGAGGGGAGGGGGGGTTAGCCAAAGCGAACTTTTGCGAACGAGGGGGAGGGGAGGGGTATAGTCTTTAAGAACGTTCGCATTTAGATAATATTTTATTTCTTGTGGTGGGGGGGGGGTAGCGGTTAGGGACATGCGAACGTAATTTTTTTAGATAACTACATGCGAACAATTGCGAACATAGGGGAGGGAGGGGGTCTAAATTTCTTAAAAAATGCGAACGTAATATGTGAACAACGCCTTATCTAGATGAATTATTTATTTATTTTATTATTTATTTTATTTATTAATGAGAAATGTAATTAACTTGAATTAAATACTGTGTATTAGGGGTTAAAAATTTTGTACTAATGATTAATAATTTTATTAATTAAATTATACTTAATAATAATTTTAATTATTATAATTATTATAATTTAATAATTTAATAAATTAAACTGTATTATTGTTTACTGTACTTTATAGTTGTATTTTATTTGTTTAAATTTTTTGATTTTTTTAAAATTTAAAATAATACAAAATTTTCGTAAATTATATATAACTATAGCATAAATAATTATTTAGTAATTTATAAAATACACAAATTATTTTACTAAATATACTGTAATATTATAAAATAGATTTTTTTTTATAAATTTATTATTATTTTAATTAAATTATTAGTAAAAAATATAGCATTAGAGAAAATAATTACAAAATAATTATAATTTTTTAAAAAAATTAGTTACTTGTAGAATTTATTATTTATAAAAATTATTATTATTTAACAAAATAATATTGTTTACTTTTAGGTTAGTGCCATGGTCAAATTTGTAAAAATTTTTAGTATTTAAAAATTTATACTTTTTTTTAATTATAAATAAATATATATATAGTACAGGTAGTATAATATTTTGTTTATCAAACTTTTAATTATCTATTTAATCAATATTTTTAAATGTAAACTTGAATTGTAAACATAAACTRATTGATTGATTGWAATATTTACTGTAAATCTATGTTTAATCAATAATAGTCGATTACCCATCCCCGTCTACACCACCCCCACCCCCCAAAAAAATAAATATWTAATTTTTSAATCTAGCTAATCAAATTTAATGGACCATGGTAATCACATAAGTACCTGTGGTGTAGTGGTTATCACATCTGTCTAACACACAGAAGGTCCCAGGTTCGAAACCTGGCAGGTACAGTGGTTTATTTTTTTTAAATTATTTTTTATTGTTAACACTAGTGCTAGCCTATTGATTAAAAACATTTTTTAATTTATGGATAATTTTATTTATTTTTTTTATAAAAAAAATAGTTAACATATTAAAAAAAATAAATATTTGTTACTTACTGTATATCGATTTGTATTGAAAATAATTTTATTTTATTTTTTAAATAAATATTTATTACTATTGTGATTATTATTATTTTAAAAATAAATTTAACCAGTTTTAACATTTWAAAATMAATATTAACGTGTATTAATTAATTAATTAATTAMTTAAAAATAATATACTACTGTCTATAATAATTTTAGCCATAAATGTTATAATTATTTAATAAATTTATTTATTTATGACCTTGACTAAAAAAATATTGTATTTAAATTTGTTTTTTTTAAAAAAATCTAAATTTATTTGATTTTTAAATTTAACTAAAAACTCAATTTTCATATTAATTTTTCAGCACATATTTACAGTTAAATATATTAATGTACAGGTATTTCAATAATAGTCAGTCAATAGCATACATACAGTACAACACGTTTTTGATTGTCAGTCAAATACAAACCCAATATTAATAGTATAGTCAGTCATATCCAGGGTTTTTAAGCGGTAAATAAATGCCCTGCCTCTGGCAATGGCCCAAAATAGATATGCAATAAATGCATGACATTTTTGGGCATTTATTTTATTTGTTTGCCATTTGAAACATTATTAAAAAAGCACAACTGTATTTATAAAATAATAATAATAATATAATTTAGTATTTTTAGCATGCTAATTATATATATATATATATATATATATATTTAATTAATAATAATAAATAATATATACTTTAAATAATAATATATGATTAATATACTAATTTTCAATGATATTGCCTATTAATTAAAGGTATACAAAACAAAAAATACAAACAAATATATACATATATATYGATAAAACAAAATGTTTTATAAATAAAATTGTTGTAAATATAATTTTAATTTTATAATTTTATTAATATAAAATTATCAAAATAATAATAATAACAGGTGTCACCATTTGTTTAAAAAAATAGATGCCCATGGCATTGAATTTRGTTGAAAAAAAATCCATGGCATCTATTGTTTATGGCTGCCTTTTTTAAATACCCTAATAGTTAGTCTAATATATCTAATCAGCTGTTTATATGAACCCAAAAAAAAAATCAAATCAAACATCAAATTGCAAACACATTGTTATTATTGAAACTAAAAACTTCGGGTAATATATAAAAMCGAACCGAARCGGACATCACATCCCAAACAGACAGACAAACACATCAACTAACCGCTGGTCAGAGTTATTATCGCCGCCGCCGCCGATCATCAGAGTTATTATCGCCGCCGCCGCCGATCACCGCCGATCACCGATGCCAAACGTATTGCTTACCGAATCGATTGCCGTCGAGTTGGGCGGCGCCGAACCGTGGCCAGAGGACGTCCGACTGTTTCAGCCGTTTGACGCCGAACAAATCCTGTTGCCCGAAGTGGCCACCGTACGGGCGTGTCAGGCATTTTTGCGTATGTGTGGATTGCCGTTTACGATCGACCAGCGGGCAAATGCCGAACAAATGTCACCGTCGGGCGGACTACCGTTTATCAAGTGTGGCCAGTTTGTCATCGCCGAACTCGATCCGATTGTGGCGTTTTGCAATACCAAAGGCCATACGTTGAGCAGTCATCTGGATATGTCGCAGAGGGCCGATATGCGGGCCTATATGTCGCTGGTCATGAACGTCCTGTATTCGGCCGAACTATACTTGATGTGGTCGCATGAGTGGACGTACGGTGCAGTGACTTATCCGCGCTATTCGTTTGCCACACCGTTTCCGTTAAACAAAATACTTTGTTGGAAAAAACGSCGGTCAGTGTTGACGGTAAGTCAGTCAGTCGTCTCTCTCTCTCTCTCTCTCTCTGTCTCTTACTGTCTCTCTTACTGTCTCTCTCTGTCTCTCTCTCTCTTACTGTCTCTGTGTCTCTCTTACTGTCTCTCTTACTGTCTCTCTCTCTCTCTCTCTGTCTCTCTCTCTCTCTCTCTCTGTCTCTCTCTCTCTCTCTCTCTCTCTCTCTCTCTCTCTCTCTGTCTCTCTTACTGTCTCTCTGTCTCTCTCTGTCTCTCTCATTGTCTCTCTCTGTCTCTCTCTCTCTCTCTCTCTCTCTCTCTCTCTCTCTCTCTCTCTCTCTCTCTCTCTCTCTCTCTCTCTCTCTCTCTCTCTCTSTCTCTGTCTSTCTCTGTCTCTCTCTTTCATCTCTCTCTCTCTCTCTCTCTCATCTCTTTCATCTCTCTCTCCCGATTCGGTTCATSTGATTTGTTGATGACTTTTTACATCTGATTTTATTGTTGTTGTTGTTGTTGTCGATTGAAATAATATATCTTTGAAATATCCAACAAAAAAAACAGAAACTCGAATCGATTAACTGGTCGGACAAGAAACTGGACGACGTCTACGACGAAGTGGACTCATGCTGTCAGGCATTAGCCGAACGTCTCGGCCATCAGCTATACTTTTTCGGCGACAAAAAGACCGAATTGGATGCCCTGGTTTACGGTCATATATCGGCAATAATGATTACCCCGCTGGCCGACTATCGGCTGCGGATATTATACAAGAATATCCGACACTTGTTGAACACTTTCGGCGCATAGATAGCGACTATTTTGTTAATTTATCGACAAATTAGACGATAATTAAGATTTTTTTTTTAATTACAKTYAATTAAAAATAAATAACTAGTCTATCGTTGAGACACTAAACTTAATTAATTAATTAAATTAAATTAATGGTTTGTTATCTAATTAGGTGATAGACAACTGGGTTTTTATTTTATTTTTTTTAAATATTTGTTTTAAAAATGAGTGTCCAATGGTTTTGGTAGCAGTTTTTCTGTGTGTGTGTGTGTGTGTGTGTGTGTGTGTATTGTATTGATTTGTTTACTGTAATGAGACAAACATTATTAAGAGACAATGTTTTTATTAAATTTAATAAAAAAATATATATAAATAATTATATACAGTATATATTTTTTGCTGATTAATTAAAGATTAATATTTCAATTATTATGATTTATTTTAATTATAAATAATACTGTAGTTATTATTATTATTATTATTATTACCCCCCAATACAATAGTTTTATGCAAATTCAAGTTTTCCTCTTATAATTTTGTTTTAAAGTATATTAATATATATATATATATATATTTTATAAACCATATATTTATTGAGTATCTAATATAAAATACTGAAATAGTTTTATGAGTTTTATTATCAATATTTATATAATCGTTATATTTATAGTTATTTTATTGTCGAAATTTATATATATATATATATATATATATATATATATATATATATATATATTTTTGTTTGACTTATCATTAAAATTTTTTTTGTTGGTATTTAAATACTTGATTTTTTTTATCACTTATTACATAAAACATAATTATATGGAAATTAATAATTAGTTGATTTAAAACACACACACACATACATACATACATACATACATACATACATACATACATACATACATACATACATACATACATACATACATACATACATACATACATACATACATACATACATACATACATACATACATACATACATACATACATACATACATACATACATACACACACACACATACATACATACATACATACATACATACATACATACATACATACATACATACATACATACAYACAYACACACACACACACATAAATTTATTGTCAATTAAAAAATTGAAATATTAATACAATACTGTAATACTGTATATTTTTTTTGGATAATTATGTTTTTGTGGGTTAGTCTACAAAATCGTTATTATTTTTTAATTAGAAAAATTAAATTTTATTGATTAAAAATTTTTGTTGTTTACAGTAACTATATAAACATATATTACATATACAATACAATATTGTTATTAATTAATTAAGTTACTATTAAGATTTAATAGATTTTATTTTTTAATTTATAAAAATAACAATTAATTAATTTAATTTAATTAATAAGTATTATAKAGACTGTCTCTCTGTGTGCGGCGCCGATAATATTTGACCGTAAAATAGATGATACAACCGATACCGATGGCCAGTAGGATACCGCCGAAAAACGAGGCCGCATCGAAATGCCGTTCATGTGGTGGCAGGGGTTCACAGGTCGGGGCCAATGTTGTCCCGTTAGTTGTTGTTATATCATCCGTTTGAATACATTGTAATAATAATGTAATAAACAATGAAATGAAAAGTTTGCAATTTTCAGACATAGTTTTTTTTCCACTGGGTTTTAAATATTATAAAATTAAAAAAAAATTTGTTTATTTCATCAATTGATATCAATTAATAAAAATCAATTTATTTAATAATAAAAATAATAATATTTAAAATTTATATACACTAATTATAATTTGATTAATAGCAATTGATTTTTTTGTTTGTTTGTTTGTTTGTTATTAATATTTTCAACAAAAAAATTAATATTAGTATTAATAGTAATTAAAATTATTATATATTAATATATAATAAAATGAATTTTAATTATTATTATTATTATGATATTATTATTATTATTCATAAAAAATAGTAGTCAATTAAAAACAATGGCAATTGCAATGATTCATATGATATGATATTATWTTATATATATTATATAAACGTAATATTCATTAAACACTAAACAGTATTATATATATAATGTTTAAATAATGTTTAATCACATTTTGTTTTTTTTGTTGATAACATTTATAATTTWTATATAYATATATATATATATATACTGTATATATATATATAATAAATATATTATTTAAAAAACATATATATAAATACCTGGTTACAGATGATTAGCAATCTTAGTGATGACAATAATTGTTTAGTTAGTTAGTGTTTAGGTTTTTTTTATTTTCAAATTTATAATTTTAAGTAAATTATATAAATTTTTTTAAAAAAATAAAATGAAACAGATATACTAATTAATTTATTAGATAATAAATAGTAAAWTTTTTWAAAAATCAAYTTTATATATTAATTAATATTCATTTTAATTATTATTATTATTTATAATACTAATATACAATTTAATATACAATACAATATTTTTTATGTTWAAAAAATCATAATATTTTTATGTTAAAACCTCTGCTATAGCGATACTATTGATTTGTTTATTATTATAATTATTATTATTGATTTWAATTTGTAARTATTATATATAGAGAGAGAGAGAGAATCTGTAAATATAATACATTAATATTTATAATAATAACATTATTAAAACTATCTAATATATTATATATATATTTAAAAATAGACACTAAAATTGCTAAACAATTTAATTAGGWTATATAAATATCAATATATTTTTAATCAATATATTTAATTAACTAATAATTAATAATTAATAATTTTTTGAAACTAAATTTTTGTTGTTTAAAAAATATTTAATTATTTTTAMWRAATTGTTTATTATATATATATAAATATAAGTAAAATGATAGTTAAAATAAAGTTAAATAAAAWATATTTTTATTTTGTGTATTACAGAGACTGTAAACTTTGGATGAAATTGAATGAAATATAATATCAATAGTTTAAGTATTTTATTGAATACTACACTTAAAAAAAATATTACATAATKTTATAAAAAWYAATTTAATTAATTAATTAATAATTACGTGCCTAATAATATATATATAMGGTACTGCACGTGCAAATTTTTTATTAATTTTTTTCAATTAGCAATTATTTAGCGCGTGTTTATCATTAGTAATATACAGAATAATTTGAAAAATACAGAATAATTTTTTTTTGAATAATTCATTAGTTTTTCAAATAATTAGAAAAATTTGTGGTATTTTTTGATTGATTTTGATTTTGATCTCAACTTTTTCACACTCTTTAAGTAATTCATTCATTCATTTTTGTGGTTAATATCCGACAAAAATACTAGCCGTCATCAGCAGTCAGACAGTGATATCGATATCGGATGGCGTCACACATGAAATTAATTGGTAGTCTATTGTCAAAGAAAAGGTATGTTTTTTTTAGATAACCTAAAGATTTCAATCAATCAAACAACGACTAACTGATCCTCTATTATATCATCAAGAGTTCCGCTAATTTTGTCGGCAATCGCTGGCCAACACTGGCTTCTTGACTATCGCCGCTCAACAACAACAACAACACCCGGCGGAGGACATTCATTGTTTCAACCAATGATCAGTCATTTCCGTCGATACTGTCCATTATCATCATCGCCGCCGCTATTACCGCTGCGATCGGCTTTCGCTGTCGAACCGTTCGACAAGGAATGGTTCGATTCGTTTGTAATTATCAGACCCGAGGCCTTTCTGGCGGCGGGAGCGGCGGCGGCCGCGGGCGCACCGCAAGGCCACGAATCGTACGACATCGGCATCGTATGGGATCCGCTCGGCTATATTATCACTTCGAACATGTGGTTTCATCGTGGAATGGACGTATGTGTCCAGTTTGCCGACGGTACCTGTCATCCGGGTCAAGTAGTCGACAGTAATTCCGATTGCAATATAGCGACAATCAAATTGAAATCAAATGTCCAAAACTTACGGATGGTCGTTAAAGATGTGGCTACCGATTCCTATTCAATTGGCGACCGATGTTTTACCGTACAGTCGGTCTGTCCGTCGTTGGCCAACAGCCTACACGAAGGTGTTATCATTAATAACGACTTGAAATCTACGGAAGTTCCACGAATGCCTACCCAACTGACCACAACGTTTCCCAATGTTATGCAACACACGGCACCCGTATTCAATATGTCACGTTTTTCGGCGGTCATCAACGGCGACGGCAAACTGATTGCCGTCAGTATATACAACAACTATATCAATGTTAACTTTGCTCTTCGGCTCTACGATCTCGAAGGTATAGTCAGATATCATCAAAGTGTTGGGTGCCGTACGTACCGGCATAAGTGGGAGGGGGGCGGGAGTTGGCATATATATATATATCACACAATACAATACTGTATATAACAACAAAACGGGAGGGATGCGGAAGGGGATCAGTTCAACACAAATAAAATTATGCCAAAACTCCCCCCCTTCCGGCACCTAATAATAATAATTTATTTAATTTTTTTAAAATTATAGTTTAACTAACATTTTTTTTAATTTTTATCAAACATACATACATACACACACACACACATAATACATACACACATACACACATACACACATACACACATACACACATACACACATACACACATACACACATACACACATACACACATACACACATACACACACATACACACACATACACACACATACACACACATACACACACATACACACACATACACACACATACACACACATACACACACATACACACACATACACACACATACACACACATACACACACATACACACACATACACACACATACACACACATACACACACATACACACACACATACACACACATACACACACACATACATACACACACATACACACACATACACACACACATACACACACACACACACATACACACATACACACACACACACACACATACACACACATACACACACACATACATACACATACACACAGTTAAGCTACCTTTGATGGATATTAACAATTTAAACGAAAACTTTGGCCTTTCCACCATTTTCTATGATCCAAATCCGGATTATCGTCAATACTATATTGATTTGGGTATTGCTGCCGACAAACTCCCACACTATCCCGGTGCTCTTGTATTGCACTCAACTCAAGAGTATGTATTTTATAAATATATATATATATATAATTATCTAATACTACTGTACTATATCTATAAGTAATTGTGTTTAATTTATTTTATCCCATCACTGGTTGCATAATAAACTAATACAACAACAACAACAACCATCACCACCGCTACCATCACTGCCGCCATCACTGACCCACCATCACTGACCCACCATCACTGACCCACCATCACTGCCCCACCATCATTGCCCCACCATTACTGCCCCACCATCACCGATACCATCATTGCCACCATCACTGTTCCACCATCACTGCCCCACCATCACCGCTACCATCACTGCCCCCACCATCACCGCTACCATCATTGCCACCATCACTGCCACCATCACTGCCCTACCATCCACTTGTTGTCCACCCTATATAATCAATTATCTGATGCCATGAATGAAAAAATAGTCCAAACACAGTGGACAAGGGTCTACTGATAACATTCATCGATGGCTTGCGTATCAATACAAAGGAAACGTATGTTAAGGCTTGCAAAACAATACTCGACGACACCGTACTTCTTGGTTTAGATCCGTACGAATATTTTGGCTCAAAAAATACCATTAATTTGAAACGATTGGAGGAAAAGGATAGCTTAATATGTCTTTAAAAACAAAATATTAATTTTAATATCATTTTATTATTAGTAGTTTTTTTTGTTTGTTTTATTATACGTTTAGTTATTTGTTTTAAATTATATCAAAAATTTTATTTATTTTTATTTTTTTGTTTGTTTGTTGTTGATTTGTACCGTAATATTAACTAAATTTTTTGTAATTTTTATTTTTTATATGGTATACCAATGTATACCAAAGTTTTATTTGCTGTTAGATTTATTAAACTTTTAAAGTATTATTATTTATATTTGAATTATTATTTTTTTTAAATATATATTATTATATATATATATATATATTTTGTATTTTAATAAATTATTGTTTTTTTATTTAGACAAAAAAATATATTTAGAAAATAAATATTATTAAATAATTTACCGATAATTGAAATATTTTCAATGTTTTTTTTGTTTGTTAACTGGTAATTAAAATATATATAGATATATATATTTTAAAAATATAATTAATTAGTTGATTAGTTAATTTTTTTTTGTATTAACAAAATAAATAATTAATTAATAAACTTTAAGAATATTATTACCAATATTATAATTTTTTTTAAAAATTTAATTTATAAATTTATTAACATTTTAGCATAAAATCTGAAATACTGTATTTCAAAAATTTCAAAAAATAATTAAAAACTATTTGAATAATAAAATAGATAAGAAAAATACTAATAATCTAATAAATAATAATAATTACAATAAAATGTTTTATAGAAATATTTGAATTAAATTTTTATATCGCAATTATTTCCATAGTATTAGTCATCATTATTATTATTAGTAAAAAATTTTTTTTATTAAATAATATTATCATTAATAAACTTAAATAAATTTTATAATTTTGTTTTAGATAGTATTGCAAATTAGTAAAAATTATAAATTTAGTTAAAAGTATAATTACCATAACTACTTATTATACTACATAATAATTAAAAAAAAAATATTAGTTTTTTGGTATAATAAATGTAATATAAAATGTAAAATTTTTTTTCAGCAAACAAGTAGTAGTAGTTATTTATAAACAAAAATTATCTAATAGTATAACAAATAGTATTTTTATATACAAAAAAAATATGTATTTAAAAAAAACAAACAATTTATTGAAATAATAATCATTTTTGTTGTGATATAATTAACATAAAAAATACACCAAATTTTATTTTCATTCAATATATATAATCATTTAATTACAATTTTTTTTAATATCACATCAAACTTATTATTATATTATACTAATATTTAATATTTAAAACTCATTGTAACGGTTCAGTCTGTTTTGTTTGGTCCGGTACCTGATAACAACCAGTCCCATAATAATTAGACCCAGGGTCAGTATGATACCGCCGAAAAACGATGCCGCATCAAAATGTCGGTCATGTGGTCGGGGATCGGCCGTTGGACAGCCAGTTGGCAACACTGTCGATACTATCGGTGGTGTTGGACTACTTGTTGGCTGATCTGTGGTGGTGGTGGTGGGGGTTGTTATTGTTGGTGATGGTGTAGTTGTAGTAGTAGTAGTAGTAGGCGTACTGATAGTAGCACTGGTAGTAGTATTGGTTTCCGGTGGTTCAATAGTTACAGGTTTGTCACTATTAGCTACCGGTTCGGGTGGTAGTACAGGTGGATTGTATACTTTTAGCATAGGATCAGTTACCTGTTCGATAAGTACCTGACCATTAGTGATGGCCATCAAAGATACTACTATTAGTATAACATTTAAATTTAAGGCAAACAAAATTTTTGGTAACATTTTTTTGTTGTTGTTGAACAAAATAATTGATTGAATTAATATTATTATTATTTAAAAAAATAAATTATTACTAAAATTATTGTAATTATTATTGTTATTTGAAATATTTAAATGAAAAAAAATCGTTGACTTAATAATAATATTAATAATAATTAAAATACGTTTTATTAATGTATTGTCTTTGTTTCATTAAAAATAGTTTTTATATTCAATAATAATAATATACTAAATAAAATAAAATTGTATTAAAACTTTCTAAAAAATAATGATAACAAAAATATATATATTCATATATATGATATATGATATATGATATGATATGATATTATTATTAAAGTATTTTGTTTGGTACTAAACTTTTGTTTGATGTTCAATAATATACAGTAATAAATATCATATAATGTGTATAAAACTAAAAATAAAAATTAATAATAAACGCTTAGTTACTAGAGATATGGCTTATAAATAAAATCAAACATTGATAATAATAATATTAGTAATAATAATAATGTACTGGATATCATAGTATTATTAATAATGTATAATAAAATAATGTTATTTTGACTTTATTTTTATAATTATTAATGGAAAATATATAGTATGCATATTTGTCAATGTTTTTAAAAAATATTAACTTTTAATTTATAAACTTAAAACAATAATTATAATAAAAAATTTGTTTTTATAATTTGCTTTAAAATAGTTAACGAATCAATTTTTTTTGTTTTTGTTAAATATACACAAATATGCAAATGAATAAAAATATTTTTTTTTCATAAAAAAAATTATTTAATTATATTATAATTATTCTATGAGTAAAAAAAAATATTGTTGATATATAATAGAAATATTTAAAATAAAAAAAATATTTATAATATCTATAATACTATAATAAATAATTAATACTAATTATTCCAAATTTAACTAAAAAAAATTTTAATTTTGCTAAATATAAAATTTAAAAAACTAAATAAATTGATATATTTATATTTGTAATTATTATAGGAAGTTAATCAAACTTTATATATATATATATACTATTTAAAAAAATATATTCAATATAATATAAAACTAGATCCGGGAAGTGATGGTATATTATATATAAATTTTTATATATAATAGTATTAATAATAATAATAATTATTATTAGTATACATAATATAAATCATAAATCATTGAAATTTTTAATAATTTAATATTATTTTTGATGCCTAATGTATTCACTAAACAATTATTTTTTTTAATAAATAATTTATTAGTAAATTATTGAATTACTTATATATATAAAAAAATGTTAAAATTAAAGCTAAAAATTATAATATTATTTTTGCTAACATATAGCCAGTCAAGTATTGGTGGTCATCCCGGACACCAACACCAACAACACCAACAACAACAAGTGGTTAATGAGATACACCTACAAGTGATTGATGGTAACAATTGCACCGATAGTCGTATACATCAGATTTTGATGAGACAACTCATGGATCTGTACGACTGCGGTACTGACCAGTGTTGTTGTCGATACGCCAACAATGAGCTAGCCATGAAATGGTTGGCCCATTTGATGGCCTACCAGTGCTATGTAGAGGTCAGCCAACTGATGGGACGGTTGACGGATAAATGTTTCAGACAATTGTCAGTAGATTTACGTCCGAAATGTCCTGAATTAGACAATCAGGTTATAGTCGGTTATATGAGACGTGTGTTTGTTACGCGAGTGGTGGCCAGTGATGACGATGATCAGTATCGGCGGGTGTCCAGTCACGGCAGTATTGGCCGTCATTTTCGGACAAAATCAATGGACAACACCAACAACACCGACAACAATAAGTGGGAACTGACTTCCCTATGGTATTGGGTTTACGTACTGTTTCTGATGACAATCGGCATAATATTGTTGACAATCATACATATGGTCTTCAAGAATACCATGAAATACGAGTCCAATCTTCAGAAAAGACAACAACAGTTACCATCGATTGATAACCAAAAGAGGAAATGTGTGCCAAATATTTATGCCAACATTTAATTGATTGATTTATTTATTTTTTTGTATAAATATTATTGATTTAAAAAAATTATTTATGTATTTATGTCTGGGTTTTCAAAAAAATAATTATCAATTTTAAAAAAAAAATAATTGAATTAATTCTTATTAATTATTTAATATAGTATTTAATTATATATTAATAGTAATTAATATTAAAACAAAAAAAAGTTTTCAAACAAAACAAATATTGCAATAATAATAATAATTTTTTTTAAAAATTATTTATACAATAAGTGTCTTAATAATAATAATAATGTAAATAAAAATTATAATCACATTATTTAATTAGATAATAGAAATTTAATTTTAAAAAACAAATAAATAAATTAATTAATTAATCAAAAAATTATTAACATTTCAGTTGATATTTATAATAAAGTTTAGTACCGTCTATGACATTGCTATCGATGAGACGGTCGGTTAGGTTAAGCCGGTTAGTGCCGCCGTCGACACCGCTGCCGCTACCGCTGCCGATGGCTATCCAATCGGTGGCCACTAGTGACCTGTCGATACCGATAAACTTGCGTATCATTGACAACAACTGTTCAACGGTCAGTGTCTGATGTATGGTCAGTGGTATACGTTGTTGTTGTTGTTGTAGATGACTGTCCTCCCGACTAATGATAACTATTATGTGTATCAATGAGACCTCATATTTGTAACGATGGGTCAGTACATCATTGAGCTGTTGTCGAGGACTGGGCTGATTGTTGCCCGACCTGTCATCAGCTAACAACAGGTGCTCACTATTCAAACAATTGTTGTATAAATTATTTTTATGAGACATAATATAAGTATATATAAATTGGGATAAAAAAAACTATTATTAATATATTTATTACAAAAATAAATAAATTAATTAAATACTAAATGTGTAACACATTAGACGACATAATTTAAAAAAAATATTAATAATAATTTGTTAAATAAAATAAATTGTTATTTAAAAAAATATTTTACATTTACAAAAAAATATATATAAATTATAACTAATAGTATCAATAATTTATCAGATTGTAAATAATATTGAATATAAAAATGTTAATTTTGATGATAACCTTATCAAAAAATTAAATATATATATATATATATACTTTTATATGTCTATGTTATTATTAATTTTAAGTTAAGTTATCAAGGTCAAAAAACTGTTTAATATTAAACACACACACACACAAAATACAGTGTATTATTGAATATAACATACATTATATTATAACTATTATAAATATTTTTAAATAATAAACAAATTAGTAAATATTATAATAATTAAATATATTGTATTGAATTTTTAGATAACAAAAAAAAATGATTTATGTGTAAACTATTGAATGAAAATTTTTAAAAATAAAAAAAAACAATTAATACAATATTTACATAAAAAATTGCCATTTTTTTATTTAATTAAAATAAATATTATATTAGTTATTTATTGGCTAAACTAAATAAATTATATTAATAAAAAAATTGTTATTCAATTTTATTTATTAATTATAATTTTAATTAAAATATATACTTAAAAATTATTTATATGAGTTAATATAATTTACTATAATTATTAAGTTATTATAATTATAATTTGTTATTTATCTAGAAAAAATTAATTAGTCATTATTGACAATTTTTTTTATTTAAAAAATAATGACTAATTAATTTTTTAAAAAAAAGTAAATTAATAAAACTAATTATTATTATTTTTATTGTATCAGATTTTGTTTGACAACAATTTTTATATAAAAGTATTTAATATTAATAATTATTTTATTTTGAATTTTAAAATATTTCTTAACTGCTAACTTATTAAATTAATTAAAAATGGTGAGCTTGATCAAATTAAAAATAATTTATGTATTACAATATTTTAATTTCAAATATAAATTTTTTAAAAAATTAGAAATATTTCACATTAAAGTAAATAATTTTTAAATCAAACAACTAATTCAATAATAATTTACTAATACATTGTATACTATTTATAGATAATAATTTTGTTTTTAAAGCATAATTAATTAATTTATTATTACTATATTTTTTTAAATAATTATAATTATATATTAGCCATAAATACAGTAAAATGTGAAATATTTATTATTTATAGATAATAATAATAAATATTTCACATTTTACTGTATTTATTTGGCTAATATATAATTATTAAAAAAAAATTATAGTAATAATAAATTAATTAATTATGCTTTTAAAAATAAAATAAAAAAATTAAGAAAATATTTTGAATAAAAATATACAGCAATTAGTTTTAATATTATATATCAATTTTGCAAAAAATTTTAAAAATTAAAAATTAATTTAAATCATTATAAGTATATTATATAACATGTAATATAATATATGTGTTTACTTAAAAATAATAATATTTATGTATATTTAAATTACAAATATATTAGCATGGTAAATTTAATACTGTGATAATAAATTAGCTTAATATTACAATAAATTTGTTTTTAATAAAATTATATCAAAACATAAAACTATAATACTTTTATAATTAAAAAAAAATAGTTTATACTTAATATTATATACAGTATATAATAAAATAAACTAAATCGTCCATGGTCATTTATATATACAATACAATTAATAATTGTTTTAACAAAAAATATTGATATATATTTTTATTTTATTTATCAATTTGTTTCTTAACGTTGTTTGTGAATTGATTTTTATTTATTAAATATATAGTAATACTATAGACTATAGTATAGACTATACACTGTATTATTGCGTCAATACTTAATACTTATAGCTATTTCCCAAAAGTTAGTGTCAAATATATAATACAATAAAACGTTTTAATATTAGAGAAACACATTAATAGTAATAATATTATTAATAACTTTTAATATTAATTATAATAATAATAATAAAAAGGGTTTTATTTTTTTTTGATAGCAAAACACGTGTAATGTTTTGAATATTATTTTTATTTATTTATTTAGTTTTTTTTGATACAAACAATTCAAACATCACTAACAACTACAACAACTAACTACTACTAGTTGACTGTAAAACTGGCCACAAATTTATTTGGTTGTTGGCCACCGATTGATCGGTAAAAAATATTGACAATCATCTTCACGCCATCGGAAACATATGTGTTGACCGAAAATAAATAATGACTGACCAATCGTATCGTATTTTGAAGACCAACCTGCAGGCCATCAGCAGCAGAGGACCGAACAGCGATTACCGTCGCTATAGTGATGATCGCCGATCGGACAGCGGCCGCACCGCCGACTGTTCGCAAACACATCGGCGATCGATGACGAGGACAACACGCGATGATAGCGGTCGCGGCGGCAAACGGTCATACAATGATGATGACGACGACGACGATGATGGTCGCCGTCGTCGTCGTCGTGGTAGTAGTAGTGGTGGTCATCGTAACCAAACTACCGATAATGACCACTTTCGGCAAATGAGTCAACTAAAGGACGATATAGAGAGGCTGCACACCGACCGGATCCGAACCAATGAAGATATGTTAGCCCTGCAGATGACTAACAAAGATTTGCGGGAAAAGTTGAAACAAATGAATGAAAGACAACTGATTGAAAACAATGTCGGCCGAGAAAGAGGTGGTCACGACAGTGATGACAGTGGATTTGGATCATCGCYGTCGACCGCCGCCGCCGGTCCCATACAGACTATCAAGACGATGGTYGCCGAAAAAAAATTGAAACAACAACTSGAGCGCCARTTAGCCGAAGAAAGACAAAAATGCAAAGACTTGGAGCTAAAATTGCGTAATAGTTGTCGCAGTGGATCCGGGATTCCGGGAATTGGCGATAGTTTATGGMCGCCGCCGCCGACTAATCTGGAAGCGGTTCGTCAGGAAAACAAAGTACTGAAGGATAAGGTTAAGAAGTTTTACGAAAACGAACAGATTTGGATCAATCAGACCAATACAGCCAAACAGTTGGCCAAAGAATTAGAAAATAAGTTGTCGACAATGAAAAAATGYTATCAAAAAGAGTTGATGAATATGAAGACTACACACCAGAGTACGGTTACGGCACTCAAGAAACAGAACCGATACTTTCAAAACTGCAATAATCTYAACGTAAGTGTCTTGTAATCAGATCACTGTATATAAAACCAAATGATTGATATMTTAATTGATATCATAATTGATATCTTAATTGATATCTTAATTGATATATTAATTGATATCTTAATTGATATCTTAATTGATATCTTAATTGATATCWTAATTGATATCATAATTGATATCWTAATTGATATCTTAATTGATATCTTAATTGATATCTTAATTGATATCTTAATTTATATCATAATTGATATCWTAATTGATATCATAATTGATATMTTAATTGATATCATAATTAATATCTCACCGGTAATTGATTTGTTTGTATTGATATTCAGAAACGCAAACATCTGACCACTGAATATCTCTATCGACGCCACCAATTGATGTACAAAAAGAGTCAACGAGTATTGCATCGATTGATCAACAAAAATAGTGGCCAATGTCTGGATGAATTAGCCCGCGATATACAGGACCTAATTGCCCGACGCAAAGATGAAATACAGAAAAATAACAATCAGTTGAATGCCGAAGTTGTTGAAAAACAATGGTCGCTGACCGATGAATATCGGAAAAATGCCGACAAAATGGTTAACACAAAATCGCCGGACAATACTTCAGGTATGAAATGATTTTTTTTTTTTWAAATAAATAAACAGTTATTTTAGTTAATGTTTTGTTTGTTTGTTTGTAAAATACTAGTCCAATGTCCTGAATGTGACCGCAAGTTTGCCAACTATTGTTACGTACGTAAACATCTGGAAGCCGTCCACTTTATAGTCGAGACAAAAATTATCGATACTATCCAGTTGTCAGATGATGAGTGAGTGACTGGACATCCCTGTCCTCTCTCTCTCTCTCTCTCTCTCTCTCTCTCTCTCTCTCTCTCTCTCTATGTGTGTTGTTTACTGTATGTAAATGATGTTTGACTACATATTTTTTGTGTGTTTTTTTTTTGTTTGTTTGTTTAATTTAATTATCAATATTCATATTACCGTACATTTGATTTTTGCTAATKATTTTCAATTCATTATACATTTATACAATACATAGTCTATACAGTATTGTTAATTTTGAGTTTAATCATTATTATTATTGTTATCACATATATAATCTATATATCAATATATATCAATCTATATAATCGCAAATATATATATTCATATATATATAACATTTGATTTTTGTTAATTATTTTCAATTCATTATACATTTATACAATATATATCAATCTATATAATCGCAAATATATATACATATATATATACATAGTCTATTATTTTCAATTCATTATACATTTATACAATAYATAGTCTATACAGTATTGTTAATTTTGAGTTTAATCATTATTATTATTGTTATCACATATATAATCTATATATCAATCTATATAATCGCAAAAAATTACCATTAATTATATATTGCTAAGTTATAATTATTAATATATTGCTATTTTTGATATATGAATTTTCATTTTAAGCAATAGATTATTAGCTAATGATTTACAGTATATATTGGACCCTAATTGCAATAATTGTAAAAAATAATATGTTTTGTTTTGAATAATAATTTTTTTTATCATTTGATTTTTTTTGTTGTTATTTTAATAATACAATATTTTTTCTAATAATAATATTATATAATCATAATTATATATTATATATAAATATATTTATATATATATATATTCATAATAAATATGTTGATTGTTTTAGTATTTATTATTTAAATGGTATTAACAATTATTATGATTATTATGATTAGCCCCTAAACTAATGTATCGGACCTATAGSTGGTCATCCTATGGCCGCCGCCGCCGGCCGGACTGTTGTTAACTTCGGCTACGGCTCTCAGTTGGCCATAACTTGGCCGAATACGGACGGGTCTGTTGTTGTAACGACTTGACAACTCCTAGATCTTGTTCATCGCTTCCCAGTTGATCATCGCTAGCGCTGCCGTCGGCATCACTGGCGTCTTCATCATCGTCGGTAAAATGGTTGTCGACATTATAGCTTTTATTGCTTGACGTCAAGGACTTCAAMGACTTGTCCAGTTCGGCCTTTGGCGCTATTCGTACATCTGTTGGTCCGTTAGTATCGTTGTTGACTACCAACGGTTTTTTGTCGTTGTTGTCGATCACTGGATACGTCTTTGTCGATGGTATTGCCGGTGCCGGTCGTTGCGGCTGAACTGGTGGTGGTGGCTGCGGATGTTTTCGTTGCGGTGCGTAATAACCGGATTTACCGTAACCGCGTCGCCAGCACAGGACAAACAATACGATAATGACCAGAATCGGTAGAATTACACCGACAAATATGCCCGACAATATCAACGAATAGGTGACCACTCGGATACACTCGGGTTCGACACCCCACGACCAGAGACCGTCCTCGCGACAGCGGCGTACTTCGTAGCCGACCAGCCGATAGCCTTCGTCGCAGGCAAACCGTACGATAGTTCCCGGCCAGTATCGGTTCTCGGTTTTGCGACCATTTATCGGCTTCGGCAGCGCTGGACATCGGATTACCTGAAAAAAATAATATATGATATATGACAGACAGACAGAGAGAGAGAGAGACAGAGAGAGAGAGAGAGAGAGAGAGAGAGAGAGAGAGAGAGAGAGAGAGAGAGAGAGAGAGAGAGAGAGAGAGAGACAGAGAGAGAGAGACAGAGAGAGAGAGAGAGAGAGAGAGAGAGAGAGAGAGAGAAGAGAGAGAGAGAGAGAGAGAGAGAGAGAGAGAGACAGAGAGAGAGAGAGAGAGAGACAGAGAGAGAGACAGAGAGAGAGAGAGAGAGAGACAGAGAGAGAGATAATTTTATGCGACCACTGTCTTACACCTACCTTTCGGCTGATATCCTGAAGCATATTCGTAGACATGGCCTCWGTTTTCTTAGTCTGTTCGCCATAGCYGCTGTCGCCGGTCACCAGATAGTCGTAWACACACGACTGGGAATCRCTACATATCCTATCGATTTCCGGATGATCGCTGAGATCGTCGGCASTGATCTCAAACTTTGGCTCCCATTTGTTGTCGTCGTAATGCGAATGACTGACCACATCGTGAAAGAACAGACTCTGCGGTAAATGTTGTTGTCTGGTCTCCAATAAGCGATATTTCTGGCCAAACTCGGTGTGTGTTTGCCGCAGATTGAGTCCCTGTGGATTCGGACCGCGTGTACCGTCCGGTAGCGTAAAGTCATCGGTCGGATCGTTAGACCAGAAACCTGAGGTTAAAATAATAATATATATATAAACGTTTGATCGGAAAAGTATTCTCCCGGACCCCAAACCTAACAGTCCTTTTGTATTATTAATGAAAGTGTTCGGCAGATAGACGTGCAGTATAAGCGATCCGACCGGACTGACCAGTACTTCGATGCCGGCGCCCGAATCAAACATCGCAATCATGTGCGACATATTTCTGATGCCGGCCGGCTCGTAGACGGTAACACCGCGGGCGTGAATCGATCGCATATTATCCGCCCAATAGAACAGATACTCTTTGTCGGCGATCAAAAATATCTGCTGATGCCATCGGGCGGCCGGCGGCCGCAACCGAAACTCGACTATTGCCGAYACATTGTCCCGGACGGCCACAGCGGTCAAATGTGTACCGTTCATGTTCGGCAACTGTTCGAACCGGGCGTGAATGTCCAACTTATGGACCGGATTGTCCGTATGCACCAACACATACTCGCCCTTACCGTTGAACGTATAGTTAGTGCCGTCAAATGTGATGATATGTGGATCGCCAAAAATGGACGCTTTTTTTAACAAAAAAAAAATATATGTATTAGTTGTTAGGTTGCGAAATGTTTTCGATCTCAGGGGGGGGGGTATAGGGGGTGGGGTTAAAATGGCAAAAATCTCCGAAAAAACTTGGCGGGTATAGGTTGGGGTTTATATAACAATTTTATAACATTTTTAAACAAAAATTTTTTACCAAATTTAAGTAAATTCCCAATAATTTCCCAATAACTTACCAATAACTTCAAAATAAATTCCCAATAAATAACTACTAAATTCCCTATAAATTTCCAGTAAATTCCCAATAAATTCACTATAGATTCCCTATAAATTACCAATAAATTCACAATAAATTCACAATAACTTCCCAGTAAATTCCCAGTGGCCTTAACCTACTCTACCCCCTCCCCTTTCGCAACCCTGGTATATATATACAGTATATATTTGTTGGTCTAATTAATAAAAATAATTAATTAATGTTTGTTTGTATACCGAGTCCGGGCGATTGATAGGATGAACAGTCCTGTGATGTGCGCCAGTAGTTAAACATTTGGCAGGTCTTACTATTGTCCTCTTTGGGCGCCCATTTGCAACAGTAGAAAAACGGCATAATATCGTACTGCCAGAAGGCAAGTGTCGGGGTCTAAATCAAATGGGTGGGGAGGGGTTATACCGATCAATTGGTTAATTAAATATATATACTGTATTTATAGAGGAAAGACATGTCTATGGTTGATGTCTGTCCACTATATATATATATATATATATATATAGTGACTGACCGTTTTACCGATCAATTGGTTAATTATATACATATACAGTATATATATATATATATAAGGAAAGACATGTCTATGGTTGATGTCTGTCCACTATATATATACTGACTGACCGTTTTACCGATCAATTGTTTAATTGTATTTATAGGGGAAAGACATGTCTAATGGTTGATGTCTGTCCACTATATATATATATATATATATATATATATATATATATATATATATATATATACTGAGACTGACCATCATTCGCATTTTGAACGGATGTTTGCCGTAAATGAATGAACGCGAAGGCCGTCCGCCGTACATAGTGTCGGCGCTCTGTATGAGCTCTCCGTAGTCATCGTAGCAACACTGCTGACCGGAACCGCCGACACTGGAAATAACATTCATTAATAACAGCAGCAAAAGTGATGAACTGGTATGTCATACGATGGTCTGGATGTACGGACACAATGTTGGGCGCCGTGATGTAGGGCATCGCATTTTTTATCGATAACATTGCACTGTTGATCGGGCGAAAAGCGGCCCCTGTCCAGATCCGATTGGCTAACAGTGCACGGGCATCGGGTAACCGTTATGGCGAACCGGTCCTCCTGTGACTCTCGCTCGAACCAATCCGTACAGAACCGTTCCTGCCATTTGGCGCCGTACTCTCGGCGCCAGTGTTTACGAAAAAACCAACCTTTCCATCAAAAAAAAGGACAAAACAATTACAACACATTTTTTTTTTCTCTCTCTCTCTCTCTCTATCTCTATGTCTGTCTGTCTATCTCTATGTCTGTCTCGCTGTCTGTCTCGCTGTCTGTCTCGCTGTCTGTCTCGCTGTCTGTCTCGCTGTCTGTCTGTCTGTCTGTCTATCTCTCTCTGTCTCTCTCTCTTTCTGTCTCTCTCTATCTCTCTGTCTATCTATCTCTCTCTCTCTCTCTGTTTATGTCATTCTCTCTCTCTCTCTCTCTGTCTCTCTCTCTCTCTCTCTCTCTCTCTTCTATCTGTCTCTCTATCTGTCTCTCTATCTGTCTCTCTATCTGTCTCTCTGTCTGTCTGTCTCTCTCTCTATAAAAAAAAACTTCAGGCCATACCTAATGGCATGGGTTTACTCCACTGAGTGATCGTAAACTCTTCGTCAGTCTGGTTGACACCAATAAACCCAAAATGATAGTCATATCGGTCGAGTCTAATGTCAGGCAATTGATTCAAATCCAGTAGATATTCGCCTGAATTGGGAATTGCTTTGACTATATCGGCCACCCATTTGAGTGTCGGATACAGTGAATCGGTCATCTCCTGATAGCCCCATATCGATATGGTTACCAATTTCGATGATCCGTCCCAGTTTAGTAGATCATTGTTCCAGCGTATGGACATTTGATTGGTCTCCCTGTCCAATAGGTCGGGCAGTTTTTCCAATAGTTCAACCTGTGGTACCCATACGTCAAACTCGCGTCTACTTTCCGGCGATTCTATACATATGTTGGAAATTGTATGGGAAAGTCATAAAATAATAATAATAATAATTGGACTATACTTACGAATATACATCCGGGTATAGAAAAATGTTTTTTCATCTACTGTTACCGTCAAATCGACATAACCTATAGACACCAATAAACAAAATATAGTCTATCTATCTATACTCCTAACCCCTCATAACCCACTCATAACCCACTCATTACACACTCATTACACACTCATTACCCCTCATTACCACTCATTATAATTCAAACCTAACATACCTTCAAACCTAACCGTTATACAGGCTCCTCATTACCCCTAATAACCACTCATAACCCACTCATAACCCACTCATAACCCACTCATAACCCACTCATAACCCACTCATAACCCACTCATAACCCACTCATAACCCACTCATAACCCACTCATAACCCACTCATAACCCACTCATAACCCACTCATTCATGGATTCAAACCTAACATACCTTCAAACATGACCGCCGGTGTTATACAGGAGGCAATGTTTTCGGTAAAAAACTTTCCCTTAACTTTCCAACTATCAAACCTACAGGTGATAACACTGTCGGGCGAAAAGCACGGTCCGGTTACGTTCAACATTTCGCCGCCCAAACTCAATATATAGTTGATCGATGTGGTCAGTCCTAGTCGATCGGGTAGATTCGGATCGAGATCTTTGTTGACGCACGCACCGGTAAACAGGACATTGTCTATTTGAAAGATAAACCGTCCCAACAGTTTGTTGCCGTAGCCGAGCACCGGTAGCAGTGATACCCTGGGGTTTTGACTGTACGGCAGATATTCGTAAGCACGGGTAGAGTTGCCAGCATTGAAACCGATCTATATATATATGAAACAATTAGTAACTAACTGTCCTATACTTATATATATATATAAGACAACTGGGATGGGATGGCCATACAAAAGCTGGCGGACCATTGAGACCGTCATAATTGTCCAGATGTGTGATCCAAGTGATCCATTCGTAGTTGAAGAATACAAACGAAGATATTTCGTCGGTTCCGATGATCATCTGATAGGTATTTGTCTAATAAATAATAATAATAATAATTAGTAAAAAAAATAATCAATAAAATCAAACATTTATTATTATTATAATAACAAATAGAAATTTGTTATTATAATAAAATATAAAATTAATAAAATAATAAATATTAGAATAAAATTTTTGTATAAATAATATAATAATAATAATTAAAAATACTTCATATTTGTTTAAATTTAAAAAAAATAATCAATAAAATTAAACATTTATTAATACAAATAGATATTTGATATATGTTTGTGGAAATTATCAATATTTTTAGTTTTAATTTAAATAAATTCATAGATTTTTTTTTGAATATACATCATATATCATAAAATATATTATAATATATATACTGTATTTTGTATAAATAATAATAATAATAATTAAAAATAATTCATATTTGTTTAAATTTTTAAAAAAAATAATAATCAATAAAATTAAACATTTATTAATACAAATAGATATTTGATATATGTTTGTGGAAATTATGAATATATTTTAATTTTAATTTAAATAAATGCATAGATTTTTGTTGTTGAATATACATCATATATCATAAAATATATAATATATGTATTTTGTATAAATAATAATAATAATAATATTTGTTGAAAATTAATTGTTTTTAATCAAAACAACAAAAAATATATATAAACCAATAAAAAAAATAATTTGATAATAAAATTTTGTGGTATTTTTGTTGTTATTATTATTAAATATTTTGCTAAAATATAATAACATATCTACTAATTGATGGCAAACATTAAAAGCATAGATGATGAAGATAAATAAGACAACAACAACAAAATAAACCGATTAGATAATAGGGTTGTTTGGCTGCTATTATCATTATCACCATCATAATAATAGTGTATTGTCGGGCACCGGTAGGTTCAATACGATTAACATTATTTGAATATGAACTCCAATTAACTGTGGGTGGATTTTGCGGATCAAATCGTATGAATTCATTTTTAGGATCATAAGTGACTGTTTGAATGTCGTCTTCAATTAAATCATTATTAATTAAATTATTATTTTCGCTAACATTTTCAAACATCAAATTTTTGTCACTAATTAACTGATTTGTATCGTATGATTTGTTATACAGTGATACAGTTGATACAGTGATGATCACTAATTGACAAATTAATGTTTGGACTAATATATTGGATATCATTTTTTTTTATCATTAATTGGTTATAAACTTGACATTTATTAATAGATTTATATATATATATGTATAAAAATATTTTTTTCAAATATTAAAGTTTTAACGAAATCTTAATTTAAATATTATTAGTATTATTACTATCTTTTAAAGTTCACGTTATATTTATATCTTATATATATATTATATTCAATTGCATGTATATATATATATTATATATATATATATATATATATATATATATATATATATATATATATATATATATATATATAGAGAGAGAGAGAGAGAGAGAGAGAGAGAGAGAGAGAGAGAGAGAGAGTAATTGTTGAAATAAATCCCAAAATTAAAAGTTAAATAATAAAAATTATTTTTCATTCATTTTTTTTTATTTTGATTGACTAACAAATAATTAATTATATAAAAAAACATTATTTAATATAATATTTTTCGTATTAAAAAAAATTAATAAACACTTCAAACTTTACCCATAGATTGTATGTCACAATAAATTTGTATTATTATTCCCATTAATTCCCATTAAAAATATATACACATTATTGTAAGGTTATAAAAGTTTTACTAAATATTTTACTAATAGAAAATAAAATTTTTATGGTTTAACCCCTATTTTTAATTAAAAAAACAAACAAAAAACAAACATATTGAATCCTATATTAATAATAATTAAATATATTTATTATAGTTATAAACTGTTGTTTTTAAATACTACACTAACAGTAAACAATAATTGTTAAAAAATTATAACAATTATAATACAAATATTTTTTAAATAATAGGGTGTTGTAAGCCATACCTTAAGTGGACGATCGGGTCGTTTATTGGCAAACGTCATGTTTTTCCAAGTAATTATCATAACAAAAGTCGGTACAAAACCGGCCGATCCGGACATTGCTGTATCAAAGTCCCAGAGTATTGTTTTTGTTAGATCCTCGTCCTGTTCAGTGCCCATATCTACCAGTCTATAGTATACGCCCGAACCGTCCACTTCGGCTGGTATGTCCTGATGGGCAAACCATATGGCAATCATTGACGGATCYTCTTCYAGATTAGTATCRTCSGGTACCGTAGGAAACGATACGGGAAATGTATAGCTTTTCAGGCCCTTATTGAAGCACACGTAGCCATCCTTATGTATCTAATTTTTTTTTAAAATAGATTATTAAACAGTTTTATTGGTTATTATCAGTATTGCAAATATGTATATATATATAATATTTAATGGGAATTTATTGAGAATTTATTGGGAATTTAGTGGGAATTTAAGGGGGAATTTAGTGGGAATTTAAGGGGGAATTTAGTGGGAATTTATATATATATATATATTTATATATATATGGAATTTAGTGGGAATTTAGTGGGAATTTAAGGGGGAATTTAGTGGGAATTTAGTGGGAATTTAAGGGGGAATTTAGTGGGAATTTACTCAAATTTGGCAAAAATTGTCGTTTATATATATAAAAATATCTTGATTTTCGAAAAATTTTGCCCCCCCCCCCCCCCCCCCCCCCCTGAAATCGAAAACCTTTAGCAACCCTGATATATATWTATATATATATGTAGTATGCATTTTGGGTATAGTATCCAGGTTAAACAGGTAATCCACTAATTAGTTTATATATTAAATATCTTTATAACCCATACATTCAATTTTTTTAAAAATGTAGCAAGGTCATAATTGTATAGATAATATTAATAACTTAACATTATTGTTTAATTGATTAATTTTATTTTTTGATTAATTGATTGTAAAATTATTAACTAGATAATACAATAGCATCGACATAGTATACTAGTTAAATTATCTAGCTAATTTTACCAATTTAATCAATAAATAAATAATCAATTATACAATAATATTGAGTTATTAATATTATCTACAAATATGTTCATGGTCAATTTTAAATTGAATGTATGGTTTAMTAGATATTTAATATAAATAAAACAATAATTGATTACTAGTTTAACCTGGATACTATCCACAAAAAAATGCATACACTATATGTATCCACAGTTTTAATAACTGATTGGATAGTATTTTGTATTTATGTCAATATATCAGAGATAATTAATTAATTAATTAATTAAATAATAATAATAATACCCAAATATAGTGAAATGCAAATCCAAAAAACGGTAGCCTAAACGGTAGGGGCTGGTCGTGCATCTGTTTCATTGAGTTAATTGTGGTCAAGTAGTCGTCCTCGCCGTACGGGTAGAACAGTGGCCGATCAGMCGACCGGCCATTTGTRTTGATTTCATTATTTTCGGTGAGTGTCGGATATAGAAACTGATGGGCCGGTCGTCGGGTGACTGAAAAAATAATATATATATAWATTAAAAAAATTATTACCAAATATTAATCAAATTAATTAATTTACAATTATTATAATTATTGTTATTAAATTTGATGGCCTGACAGTCGCATTSATTAATAATTAAAATAATTGACAACAAAATTAATGAAAAAAACAATAAAAAATTATTATTATTATAGATATCCATTTGATTTAAAAAAAATAATTTTTTTATTAAGATTATAAAATCACAACTATTGCTATATAGAAAAAAACAAAATTATTAACTAAATGTTATTATTATTATTATTATACTATTATTAAAATCATTATTTAAAACCAATACATTTATTAGTATTATTTTTTTCAACTAATATTTTACTATATTTTTTTGTTGTTGAGTTAATCTAATAGTTATTAAGTTAACACCCTATGACTTATTATTTAATTATTATTATTATTATTATTACTGGAATATTCTGATAATTTTTTTAAGGAAACAATTTTTTTTGTGTTATCTTATAATAATAATAATTATTTGGAGAATTAGTTGTATTATAAAAATTATTATTAATTAATAATAATAACTGTTATGTAAATAAATTTCATATGAAATAGTCATCACACTTTTTTTTAATCATTAACGGTATAATAATTTATTTATATTATTTATTTGATATATATCTGTATAAGTTTTTTTTCAGTATAATATTAATATAGTTATTAAAGTAAATAAAGTGCTAATAAAATTATAATTTAATGTTTATTGTATTATAATAGTAATMTATATTTGTTATCATTTAATCTCTTATTTTTTGTGTGAATTTATTACATATAATTTATATATATATATGAATTATTAACTCAATATTTATTGACTAAATTAATTGACAAATAATTCATATTAAATAAATTGTTTRTTAATTAAATATAAATATATATATATATATATATTATACATGAAAAATATGCTATAAATTTATTACAGTATTATTATCCACAAAAAAAAAATAAAATTAATTTAAATAATTTAGTTTAAATGTAACCTAAATAATATATTTTAATATTATATTTATCTATTTATAAAAACGTAACTTGTTCATTTTTTAATAAAATAGTTTACTAGTATATTAAAAAATATGTTTTTTATGGAAAATATTTTTTAACAAAAAAWTTCTAAATTAGTTTAAAAATTAATAATTTTTTTCAAAAAAAATATTATGTTATATTAATATATATGTTACAATTATTTTTATTTTATATTATTTTTTTTTGTGTAAAACAGTTTATATATAYATATATATATATAAATTTAATATAATTTTATTTTCAAATTAAGTACACACACATATATATATATACAGTTTATTAAGCCTACTATACAATAATAATAAAAAAGTTAATTTATTTGWGTAAATACAGTGTAAATCTATTGTATATATAATTTATTTTATTTTTTGGGGATTAAAAGATACTAATCTAAAAATTTTCATTTGTTTTATTGCAATGAATTTATTATTAACAACATTTGTATTATTATTATTATCAATAATTTATTGTACACAATGTCTACCAATTGATAATAATAATAATAATAATAATAATAATAATAATAATGACTACTCGGAAATCATTGACGACAAACTATTATCCKATAATACCGGTGCTCCTGTTGTCGGCTACAGGCGTCAGATAGTTATTAATAGGAGAGGAACTGGTGGTCAGGTTAGGACAACATCCCAGATGGTGGACAGTCGTCGGATGGACGTAAACGYTGGTATCGGCGTATAAAACAAAGTAATAATAAACTATTATTTATCAAAAAAAAATATGAATTAATTTTTTTGTGGATATATTATCTAACTTTTTTAAACATTCAAATAATTTACTCAAATATTGTACTATAGTTTTGAAACAAGAGGTAAACGACACACCAATGCCAGTGAAAACAGGTTACAGAAAACAAGTGTGGGTTCATAACAGCCAACAAYACAACCWCCACCAGCAAACAGATGCCGGTGCTAACAACGGTACAGCTGATGATAGACTCCCGGGTAGTAATAATAATAATAATAATAATAATAATGATAGTCTAACTAATAATAATARTAGCGGACAAAAACCCAGTGTTTAACACTTATATATTATATTATTATAATAAAACTAAATTATTATTATTATTATATAAGTTACACAATTATSTTTATTAARTAATTATATTTTTCGGAAATATATATATATATATATTATTGTTTGTGTTTAAATGATGATATGTTTGTCGCTAATTGTTTTAAACCTCAAACCCCTTTTCTTTAAACGAGATATAAAAAAAAACTAACAAAAAAATAAATAAAAAAAATAGTTTTTTTTGTCGACCTTTGAAAACTATAATATACAGTATATACAGTATAATCATATAATAGACGATAATTCCTATAATTAATTTGCTATTTTCATGTGAACTAGATATATATATATATATATATATATATATATATACTGAAAATTTTTTATGTTTTTTCTAACATATTAATTATTATTATTATTATTAATTTTTTTGTTTTGATTATTAAATCTAATTATATTACAAGTGTACAGTATATTACCAACAAAAAAAATATTGGAAATTATAAATCACGAGATATACTGTATATATAAWTTCAAAAAATAATTAAATCTCAAATTGCATTTTAAATATTTAAAATACATTATATAATTCAGAGAAACTTATTATTACTTATTATACATTATTATTATTATTATAGATATCGTTAAGTTATTTGATTGATATTTAAGATAAATATATCAATATATATGATATATATATTACTGAAAGTAGTTGTGTGTGTGTGTGTGTGTGTTTGAGTGGGGAACAGTATGTCTATCGTATGGGACAATAAGKKTCGGGTAGTGGCCAATCTMMTGGTCTATATACTATCATTGGTGTACATCTATCGGTCAATTAAGCGGACAATSGSYGACCAGAGCCTCATCAGACAGACCWTTGAGTTTAACAAAAGTTTGCTAATAGTTACAGTACTGGAGCTTATCCGTTATGGCGATACYTTCATGGTTAAGGACAGTTATGTTTTGCGTTTCYKWATCAATCAGTTGGTAGTTATTTTCATGCTTATGGTATTGCATAAAACAGTCSGACGACTGGCCCGCCATCAGSAGCACCGGCACCACACGTTTGAGTGGCGGATCAGACGGTTTWTMAGAGCCGCGGGCGTACTGTTGATACTTGARGTSGTCCGATATGTCGATCTTATAGTTGTTGTTATGCCTCACAAACAACATTAGAGCCGCTAGTTTTTGGTGGGGGTGGGGGGTGTTGGCTTTTTTTTGTGTGGTCAATATTGTTTCAAAAAAAACCAATTGATTAGTTGAGACAAACATTTTAATTAAATTAAWYWGKAATTAGTTATTAAATATTATTAAATATATATATATATCTATATATATATATATATACTAAATATAAATATATAGATTTAATTAAAATTAATATTAATAATACTGTAATACAAAATATATAATTTAATATTTAATATATTATTCTTATACTATATAAATATAGTTATAAAAATTATTAACATCTATTATCTCATAATAATAAAAAATAATACAAATATAATAAATGCATACAAAAATAATTGCATAATAATTTAATTTATATAATWTATATTGAATTTAAAACACATTTTTATAATTATAAACGAGAAACTAGTATTCAGRTAATTATTATTTTGTTTTTTTTGATTCATTGAATATTCATAAATATATTTTTTAAAAATTTAATTAGTTAGCTATAGCTATTTGACAATTGCATAAAATTATATATTTTAAAATAATTTTATTTATCTATGATTTATGCTATTTTTGTTGTTGTTGTAATTCAATGGCACATCTGGTATGTCAAGGATGTCAAACATATATATTGTAATAATTTTTTTTAATAATTATTATTATACAGTAATAACTAAAAATGTTTTTTGTTTTAATATATAAATATACAAAACAATTTGACTCATATAACCGGTAGTTATATAATAACTRTATATTATATATTTGTGGTATAAATAGTGATTTCAAAACAAATTGTATAAATTGTTTWTGACAACATAATCAAWAAAAAATCTATTTATCAAAAATACAAATTTTGATTTTTTTMATAATGTAWACTAATTAAAAAAYACAAACACATATACACACAAAATTATAATTATATAAACATATAAATATGTGTGGTTTATCTAATTAAAATAAATTAAACAAACAAACAAACAAACAAAAATAAAGTCAGAAATAATTATATTTATWTWATATAGGAAATAATATAAATATAATTATTAGAARATAAATGATAAACAAAAAAAAAAACAAATTATTTTAGATATAATAATAGAAAAAAATTATTTTTATTTAATTTTTTTTTAAATAGTTAACAAATTATATTTATACTATAATTGCTTTATAAACACTAAATTAGYYWAAAAAATAAATAAATAATAATTAAGAAACAATTGACTTTTTTTATAAAAAAAAATAAATAAAAATGTGATGACTTTGATATAGGATTAGTCTATTTTAWAAAAAAATTTATGGGAATATCCCTCCCCTTCCACATMATATATATATATAMTATATATATATATATATATATATATATTATATGTATTTTTTTAGTAATACTTASTAATACTTTAAAGGTTAAAGTTTTGACCATTAAAAAAAACTACACAACAATWACAATACAACAACAATAACACAATAATAACAACAAAATTATTATTATAATATATATATATACAAAAAGCATAACCACTTGTCTATTGATTTTTAATAACTTTTTTTTGTTGATAGACTCTTGAAAGGGGTTTTTAAACTATTTTTTTAATTACTCAAAAAAACAAAATTCAATATTACAAACAATACAAAAATATTATTCTCATAAAAAAAAAGTTTGTTTCAAMTGAAATGTGAAAAACAATTACAATTACAGTATTTAACAACACTGTTACTATAATATATAAATTTATGTATTATATATATATATACAGAATATATAACTTGAAAAACTATATATATATATAATATTAATGKAAAATTCTCATCTTTAAGACAATACCCCCGTAGATACAGTATATATACATATATATATAAAGTATAGACAATTATTATATAATCATTGCCCATAATTTAAATTTTATATTTTTAAAAGCTATTCATTWTAATTAATGTTTACTTTTTTTTATATATAYAGCAAAGCTTAAGCATAGAGAGAGAGAGAGAGAGAGAGAGAGAGACAGAGAGACAGAGAGAGAGAGAGAGACAGAGAGAGACTAGAGATTAGAGATATACTTCCGATGATTACACAGTGAATCTATATATATATGTATATATATAAACTTTACTTAAAAGACAACTATATTTATAGTGACTGACTATTATTATTATTATTATTATTATTATTATTATATACCTGTATATATATAGATCTATTGTTAAGGAGCTTAGCTTTTATATATTATGTAACAATTATGTAACACATCGTTGAATATTTAACTGCTATATATATATATATATATATATATATATATATAATATGAGACTATTTAAATAGAGAGAGAGAGAGAGAGAGAGAGAGAGAAGAGAGACTAAGAGAGAGAGAGAGAGAGAGAGAGAGACAGAGAGAGAGAGAGAGATTTAAGAGAGAGAGAGACTATAATAAATATCTAAATTCTGATAATGTGAATTTAAACTAGGTGAAAATTCATTACGTGTTTCAGTAATTTTTATAAAAATTAATAAATTTTAAACAAGAAGCAAAAAAATGTAAAATTTGTGATATATATGTATTTTGTTATGAAATTAATCTATTATTATTTGTTATTTTATTAGGAATAATTATTCTATTTACAATTTTTAATTATCATGCTTAGTTTTTGAGATATTAAAGATAAACATTTTTACCATTATATAAATTTAGTAACAAATATAATTAATAAATTTTTATAAGAAAAAATTATATAATGGTAAAAATGTTTATCTTTATATCTCAAAAACTAAGCATATATATATATAGATCTATTGTTAAGGAGCTTAGCTTTTATATATTATGTAACAATTATGTAACACATCGTTGAATATTTAACTGCTATATACAGTATATATAAATACAATAATATGAGAGACTGTTTTTTTAAATACCTGTGCTTACTATATATATATACAGTATATACAGTATATACAGTATATACAGTCTATATACCTGTCTATACAGACACGACTAGTAGTAGTGTTTTTTTTTGTTGGTAACTAACAGTTAATAAAATAAAATAACAAAACAGTTTAGTTGTTGTTGTTTTTTAAATAATTTTTTTTTCAAACTTCAAGTGTTATTTTTTCCACCCCTCCTTAACTGAGCTTAACCTTTATAAAAGTCAGTGATTTCATTGTCAACGGGAACAGTAGCTGAACAGACAGGCAGAGAGAGAGACTGGTTGTGTGTGTCTCAGACAKACTATTCAAAGAGAGAGAGAGAGAGAGAGAGAGAGAGAGAGAGACTCCAGTCCTATCTGTTYAGTATYAAAATTATTATTATTATTATTACTGTATTTATTTCCAATGATATAATAATAATAATTAATAATTTAAAAATAAATAAAAATGTTATCATTATTATCATCAATATTTTATACCACAAYAACAATCAGTATACTAAGCTTATGTGTAGTAGTAGTATTCAGCCGACTCATGGATTTCAAACTAGCCTAACCGATGATGATCTAGTGGACGGCCAGTTTTACAAATCGGTGGCCGACAATATTGTCGGCAGCGGTGGTGGTGGCCATCACGGCATCGGTAGTCTGGATGAACATAACTGGAATTTTACTCACTGGTGGAATGAGCGGACCGAGTATTCACAGGTAACCAGCGAACCGGTAGTTTTTCAGGAACCGACCAAACCTGTCCAGTACAGCGATTTGGATCAGTTTGATACCGTACACTACGGGAGTGGCAGCGGTGGCGGTGGCGGTCAYTACGGTAACGGTAGTTATACAGATGGTGGCGGTGTTGTAGTAACATCGTCGCCGATTTTAGTGGAAAATCAGGGAACACCAGCTACTACTATAGYCCGRCTAAACGATACGATACTATCGTTTTTTGCTAACTCCCGGCACTGGAATGACGATAAGCTATATCTTCGGGATCTGAGAGAAGCCCTAAAAGAACGGTTCCTATCGTACGGTTTGAAAACGGCTTTCCATATATTCAAGGCAGAGGACAGTCCTATTAAATTAGTAAGTAATTTATATTATGTTTTATATATATATATATTTAGCTATACTATTATATATTTTTTGTTTGCTTATTATTTTTTTTAATAATAATAATAATTATTATTATTTTATTGACTATTATTTAGTAATATCCATTGAAATACTGTATATTTGAAATTTACTGTATGTTTGAGTGTGAGTGTGTGTGTGTGTGTGTGTGTGTGTGTGTGTGTGTGTGAAAACTA